TAGCCACTAGCTACATGAGGCAGTTAAGCACTCTTTAAAAAAAAGAATGAGCTGAATTTTTTAAATTTCAATTTTGATCAATTTAAATTCAAAAACTTGTATTAGATTAAGTTACTGAAAAAATTTAAATACGTTTGGAACAACCTGGATATGTGAAACTACTATAAACTTTATGAACTCTAAATATAGATCAGGTACTCTGGTGAAAACCTAGAGTTTGAGTGGAGATGTGCTTATGTTAAGTGTAAAGTACATGCTGCATTTTGAAGATTTAGTATCAGAAAGCTTTGTAAACTACCTCAATAATTTGTAAATTGGTAACACATTGAAATGATACAATTTTAGATAGATCCAGTTAAATATTAAAATTAATTTCATCTGTTTCTTCATACTTTTTTAATGTGGCTATTAGAAAATCTGGAATTACATGTTATATTTCTATAGGATAGCAGTGGTCTAGGATTTCTACTGAAACTTTTTTAAACGCAAAAAAAATAGGTATTATTATCTACAAGTAATAGATAATTAGATTTACCAGTATTTCATACTTAATTCGTATATACTTTGCTTCCATCTGAATTCATTTTTATAATTGCGAAATTTGATCCATTAGTAACAGGTCCTTATTGAAAGGAAGGTTCTGTTGATGGTTAACTGTCTTAAGTATCTGTATTCTGAGATATCTTTATTTTTCCTTCATTCTTAAATGATAGCTGGGTATAAGGTTCTAGGTTGATAGTTACCGTCAACTACTTGAACATTACTCCATATTTCTTACATTTGTAGTTGCTGATGAGAAGTAATTCTTTGTAGATAATTCATCTTTTAACTCTGATAATTTCTAAGATTTTTCTCACTTTACTATGGTTTTACTACTTCATGTTTCATTGTATTTATTTGTTTTGTTTCCAGTTTGTTCCTTGGTGGAAGCTTTCAATCTGGAGACTCATGACTTCAGTTTGGGAAAATTCTCAGCCACCATGTGTTTGCCTTCCTACTAGTACCTCTGTTCCTGGCTTCTGAACTGTCTGTTAGGTATATGTGGAGCTTCTCAATTAACCGTGTCTGCTAACCTCTCTTGCATAGTGTTCATTACTTTATTGCTCTTTGTTGCACACTGAGCTACTCACTCAGCAGTCTATGATAGTTTATTATTTCTTCTGTCCCTGGTCTAGAGCTTATGTTTTGAAGGTTTTTTTCTTTTTTATTTCAATGAGCCTACTTTTATTTTCAGAATCTGTTCAACAAGTTCAACTACCTATTGATTTTTGCCAAAGTTCGTGCCTTCTTGGCCGATTCTCTGTCCCCATCTAGTCACCAGGTGTTCAGTGATCCATCTTCCTGCTGACTTGCCCTCAGATCAGCTCTCAGTGGTACTCCAAACTTCTAGAATCCCTGCTGTGCCTTCCATCTGGCCACCATGTTTGTCTTCCACCCCCCTCCTGGCTCTCAATTCACTACCCTTGCCACTCGGGTACTGAAGTAGCCTCACATATGTGAATGAGACCTTTTTGTTTGACTATGGTTCTCTACCCTCTTGACCAATCTGGATTCAAACTGGATTAGCACAAGCCTGCTCTGTCCTCGGAAGTGAGACAAGAACCCTTCTGCGTTGGAATTCCTCACACTCACCTTGTCCTTCCCATCAGCCCACTAGAAGGTTGAAGTATGTCTGAGATCATCAGTGTACACCCCCAATCCCCATTTCCCCCTTTATCTTTATTCCTCACAATCTCTTGGGACAAAAACTTTGGGCTTCTGTTCAATCCCTCCTTCTTGTCCCCAGCCTCATGGCTAAGTGTTAAAGGTGGACAGGGTGTGTGATAAGACAGTCTGAAATGGTAAGTCCTTCTGAAATTACTCCATGTTACCCTGTTCAAAAACAGATGACAAGGTTACAGGGAATCTGGATGTGTTCACCTTTAAGGTTCTGTTGAATATAATTTGACATTTGATAATTTAAAGACTCATTAAGATACATATCTCGTTGCATAACATCTGTATAACTATTCACCATCTATGAAATGCTCTAACATCTCACTTGGTCTTAAGCATGATGCTTGGGAGTTCAATGTCATTATCATCTGTCATTCACAGATGAAGAGACTCTAGGTAGAGAGCCAGCATTCAAGCCCTTGTCCTGACCTGCATTCATGCTACAGTACCACACTGATCCCAGGGTAAAGATCATTTGGCTTGTTTCTAAATTTGTTATGTGCTTGTTAATAGAAAGCCCTTATGGCGAGATTGCCAGAGAAACCAGCTTTGCCTTGAGTTGTAACTCTTTACATTTCCACTCTTATATTCATTCATCTGAAGCCATTAACATTTTCAGTTATACCTGTTTTTTGTGTGTGTGGCGTCTTTCCAGGTTTCTTTTTTTTTTTTTTTTCAGTTATTTGCATTTGACTTAGGTCAGTGTTTAGAAAGTGATCTTCCAATCATATTGCTGTCAGTAATGCACTGCATAGAAGAATATTGGAAATTATGTCATTAATATCCCTTTTTAACTTTTTAAACGTCAGTTAACATCAGAATAACTGTGTGCTACTTCTTTAAATGCCTACCAGTTACAGGTGGGGGTACCCCAGATTGAACTGGGGTACCAACTGGCCTAACAGGTGTGAATGAGAGCCCAGCACTTCTTGACAGAGGATCGCATTTGTGGCCAGAGGGTCGAGTTTGTAGCATAGAATTGAGCAAATTCAAATGGTCCACGTATGGACTGTCTTCAGATGTTCACACTTCGTAAGGTTTTGCTCTCTCCAGCTTGGCCGGCTGATACAGCAAGATCTGTGAATTAGAAATTCCTGTGCAAGAGAGTGGGGAACAGAAAAGAGAAGCTCTTTTTCCCTTCATGATAGAGAAGGTATCAGGGAAGAGGGGAAAATGGTTGGTTCATTTGGGAAACAAGAACTCCATGAGAAGCGCCTGGGCAGCTCAGTTGATTAAGTGTCTCACTCTTGGTTTTGCCTCAGGTCATGATCCTTGGGTCGTGAGATTGAGTCCTGCCTCCAGCTCCCTGCTCATCCGGGAGTCAGCTTGTCTCCATCTCCCTCTGCTCTTCCCCTCGCTTGTGTGGGTGCGCGCGCTCTCTCTCTCTCTCTCAAATAAATAAATCTGGAAGGAAGGAAAGAAGGAAGGAAGGAAGGAGGGAGGGAAGGAGGGAAGGAAGGACGGAAGAAAAGAAAAAAGAACAGAACTCCATGCATGTCTCCATCTCCCTCTGCTCCTCCCCTCGCTTGTGCGGGTGCGCGCGCGCGCTCTCTCTCTCTCTCTCTCTCTCACTCTTTCAAATAAATAAATAAATCTTGAGGAAGGAAGAAAGAAAGAAGAGAAAAGAAAACTCCATGCATGTCTCCATCTCCCTCTTCTCCTCCCCTCACTTGTGCAGGCGTGTGCGTGCTCTCTCTTTCAAATAAATAAATAAATCAGAAAGGGAGGGAGGGAGGAAGGGAGGGAGGGAGGGAAAAAAGAAAAGGAAACTCCATGCACATGCGAGGTTCTGGAGAGAGGTGAACTGACAGACTGGAGAGAGAGGCTGTGGACAGTCTCAGAGAGAACTGAAGGTTTACTAGGTCATCTGCCTTGAAGAAAAGCTTTTGACTTTCTAAAAGACTTTATCTACTTCTGATCTATGTTTTACATGTTATTTCATAACCTGTTTTTTTTAACTTAGCATTATCTTATGTGGACTTTCTATGTATTCACACAGCCTAACTATTTTTAATCCCATTGCATTAATAATTGCATAGTTTACTTAAATATTTCTCTATTATTTACTAATCATGTGAGTGGTTTCCAGTTACTCCCTATTAAAAACAGTACAACTAAAACGGTATTTTTACAGTCTGTCTTTGAGTCCTGGTTCCAAAACTGGAATTACTGGATCATTATATGATTAGTCTTGTGTGTCTTTCTCAGATTGCCCGTTTGTTCTTTAAAAATATCATATTAATTTACAGTGTCACCAGGCCCACCAAACAGTGGGTTTTATTATCTTTAAAATTTTTTCCTCATTTTATCAGATGAGGCATTACCGCATAGCCCTTTCATTTTGCTCAAGCCAAGCAGTATGCCAAATGTCAGTTTGCTATTTGTATTTTTTCTCTTAGAAACTCTATTCATATCTTTTGCTCACCTGTCATAGACATTGGGTAATCACCTTCCACATTTATATGGTTTTAAAATGTGTGAAATAGTTTAATTTTCTAATTAGCTTAATCGTTTTCATCTTATTTACTGCCTTTAGCCAATAAAAATACATTAGGATCTGCAGTGTGTCACCTACATCTAATGATATTTTTCCCTCAGTTGTATGCACTGTTGTACTCACATAAAGGAGTGAGGTTTGAGCTGTCACCGGTGACAGGTGCTGCCTCAGGGGGTGGGTCAAAATCAGGAAACAAATCAGCTGGGGTGGCAGGGCGTTGGGCTGTCCGGCCAAGGCTGGGAGTTCGGTAGAGATGCTGGAGTTGATAATGAAAGAATAATCCATGACACATTTGTCAAGTCATATCAAGAAGTGGGCTAGAAATCAAAGCGAGGCGAGTATGGGACAAAAATACGCTTTTGTGCTCAGGCTGAGCTTTCTTAGCACCCTGCCCTCATCTTAGAGAAACAAAGTGCCCGAAACGTGTGGTGGTTCCTGGCACCGCTGCCTCTGGCCACTGGGTCTCTGTTCTTTAACTAGTGGTTTAATCATCAAAAATCAATGAAAATGACGTAGGGTGAGTGCACATTAAAAACAGGGGTTCATATCAGTTCTTGCACCACTCCTGTTTTAAGATTAGAGCAGTTGTGCAGATAAATGCTGTGTGTGTGTGTGTGCGCACGTGTGCATGTGTGTAAAACGTATCCTCTTACAAACTTGCTTTTTCTCCACAAAATATCTGTTGACTTATGTGGTCCTGTGAATTGAAATAGCTGTTTTTTTCAAATGTGCCTCGAATGTGTGCTTTCCCTTTTAAATACAGTTCACTGAAATATTTTCTTTCTAGTCTCCGGAGAATACAGAGGGCAAGGATGGATCCAAAGTAACTAAACAGGAGGTAAGTGTATCTTTGACATCCTGTATTTAATTATTTTACCTGGAATTTTTTAATATTGTTAGGATTGTCTACATCTGAGTGAATGCAATTCTGAATAAGGTTGTCGAGACTACATAAACCAGAGATAAAAGTGTCACTGTGGAGTGTCTCTTGGCCTAGGTAAATTTCAGTTGGGTACACTGGTGCGGCATTTTTCACTTACTGTGTTGTTTATGTTTCTACCTGTCGGTCCTGCTATCTGGTAAAGTGGATACTGAGAATTCCTTCTGGGCAAAGAGCGAGATAATAGGTAAATTCATCAAGGAGAACAAAGTCTGCCTTTCACAGCAAGGAAATGAAAGACTGTTGATTTAATAAATTCTCTGCTCCAATGAGTGAATTATAAATTTCTTTTTTTAATGCTGAATATTTGCCTAAAAGGAGTCATCTCTAACGTAAAAAAAAAAACTGTGAAAAGACACACAAAATGTCAAAATATTAAAGTTTTTTTTTAATCAGGAAAATTCTTAGGGCTTAGGATAGTTAATTAGGTAACAGTTCAAAGAAACTGTGTATTAAAGGGTATGTGCTAAGGTGAGCGCTGCGAATTGTGTAAGAATGATGAATCACAGACCTGTACCCCTGAAACAAATAATACATTATGTTAATAAAAAAAAAAAACTGGACTCAAAAAAAAAATAATAAAGTACAGAAACCTCCAAAAAGCTAAGAAATGGAGAGAGATGGTTGCATTTACCCACCGTGGTAATACCATGAACTTCTAAAAGGAGATGGATGAAAAAGTAGCAGATTAGATGCTAACTCTGATGACAGCCATTCACTTTTGCACAGAGCTTTACAGTGTGTAAAAAAACTGCAGCTCTTACCCTTGAACTTATAAACTAAAAGGGTCATGTGAGAGAGAGAAACAGTATCTGGTTATAGATTCTTTGATTGGGTGATTCATACTGTGGTTTAATAATTCAGAGGAGTTTGTCATGATAGCAGAACCCCTCCACAAAACTTGTACAAGGAAATTTGTTCTGCCAAATGGAAAATCTTTAACAGAATCTATAACTAAATTAATTTAAAAGCAAAACAAACAAAACTGCCTATAACCAAGGCCCCACCATCATTTCCGGCATTCAGTGTCTAACAGTTTGGGAGGTGAAGTTTGTGGTCCCATGTCAAGTTACTAAACAAACACTAGAATCAACCAAAAAATGACAAATGCATGGGTTTTCCTGAAAATGGCAAAATGTAATTTGTAGGACAGTTGGCTAACTGTAACAAATCTTAATGTAATTTTTAGATTTGGACACAAACCACATTTGGATTTTTCCTTAGGAACTGCTATTTAAATTGATCTGTCAGTCGGAAAACCTAGAAACCATTACACACAATAGATCTTGGATAGTGTAAACAGTCTTTCCAATCCTTCTACACAGAGCAATCAAGCTGGTTAGAATATATGTAAGAGATTCTTGCTTATCAAGCTGTCTTATACATATTATTTTAGCCTCAGAATTTTAATTATTTGTGTTATTTATACATTTTATATTATTTTAACAATTTATGTTATTATATGTATTATTGCTAACAAAAATTGTTCCTAGAAAAAACTCTTACCCTGTCATTTAAGCCAAGACCAGATTAAAACTCATGATTTGTCTTCAGGACATCAACACAATTGTTTGAAAAGTGAAAAGGTCAGTCAGTTAGCTGGTGGGTTAGGGTAAGAACTGTCAGACAGTATATTGATTGATTTTTTTCCCCCCACTGAATTGACTGAATTTTCTAGTTTTGTCATTGAATATGCACAGGCTTGACTATGGGGAATAGGTATCAAGTTACAAAGAGGGATCCTCTTTTGAAAATCCTCTTCCACTGCTATGATATTTCAAAGGCATGGTGCAGAGTATAGTTTTTGGACAATAAGCGACCACAACAATATGTTAAAAAGCATTACATTTGGCAGTTTACAAAGCCCTTTAATGTTCATTATTTTATCTGATCATTACAATAACCCTGAAATGAGGGCAGAGTACATTCATTCCTCAACAGAAAAGTATTGTGCACCTGTAATGTGCCAAGCACTGTTCTAGGCTCTGCAGATTCCACAGTGAACAAAAGAAGCCAAAATCTCTTCCTTCATGGAGCTTCCATTTTAGTGGAAAGAGAGTAAAATGAAATCACTGGATATTTGCTATGAAGAAAAATAAAGCCAGGAAAGGGAATAATGAATATCAGGGAAATGCTATGTTTGATAACAGGCAGATATTATTATTTCCAGCTTTACTAGAGGAAACAAGGTCCTGAGAGAAATACATTATTTCCCACAGATGTCGCAACTTGTGTATTGCAAAACCAGGAAAGATATCTGAGTCTCCTGATTCAAAATCCTCTGTCCTCATGCCACTTTTGTGGTAATCATAAATCTGGTTATCCAGTGCCATTTTTCTGTCCTCTGCATTCCCCAGCCAAGGCTCTGATATCCATCTTTCCCCACTTCCCAGTTTTCCAAAAAGGTAATTTCTATTTGGCTCCTCATTCGTCTTTGGAAATTAAAAGCAACTTGACTTCTGGCTTTGCCTTCGAGTACACATGGTCCCTGACTTGTGATGGTCTGACTTAACAAATTTTTGGCTTTACTGTGGTGCGAAAGCAATACTCATTCAGTAGAAACCATGCTTTCGGTTTTGCTCTTTTCCCAGGCTATCTTTATGTGGTATGATGTTCCCCTGTGATGCTGGGCAGTGGCTGTGAGCCGCAGCTCCCAGGCAGCCCTATGATCGCGAGGGTCAACAACCCATGCGTGTACAACCCTTCTGTACCTAGACAACCATTCTGTTTTTCACTTTCAGGATAGTATTCAATAAATTACGTGGGATATTCGACACTTTATTATAAAACAGGCTTTGTGTTAGATAACTTTGCCCAACTGTAGGCTAATCTACATGTTCTGGGCACATTTAAGGGAGGCTAGGCTAAGCTATGATGTTTGGTAGGTTGGGTGTATTAAATGCATTCTCAACTTACGATGGGTTTATGAGGATGTAACTCCATTGGAAGCTGAGGAAGATCTGTACATGGTCAGGCTTAGGAGCATTAAGAAATCTTATAAAGATAAACATACTTCCAAATCCCATTGGAATGGCCCATATGTTTCAAGCAGTATTCAGCGAAGTCCAGTGATTCTACTTGAATCCAGCTATCCCAGTGAACTTAGTTGTAGTGAAATTAGACTTCCATGTTCTTTTACAACCAGGATGCTAAAGTAAAAGACTCTGTGTCTTTCAGAGTAGCCTTCACCAGAATTTGCTCCAACCCAGGGAGTGATCAGTTACTCAAATGCTTATTAAAAAATTTCATTGTGCCCAGCCACCCTATACACGGCAGTGACAAACCCTCCCATATCTTGTGTCTGTAATTCTTGGTGATGTGTCATTCTGAAAGTCTTCTTTCCTCCTCTGAGAACCACTCTTTTGGCAGCCACTTCTCCCAAGGAGTCAGTCAACAAATTGAGAGAAGTTCTTACTTTTTTTTTTTTCATAGTCGTCCTGCCCAACGATCCAAGTCTCAAATGAATACTTAAAATGCTAGTGCTTTAAGGAGGAAAAACTGGCAGTCTCGTCCATGTTATAGCCAATAAATACAGCCCGGTCATTTATAGATTTTAAGGCTGTGCAAGCTGATGGAAGCTTCCAGGAAGGTGAACAAACTTGCATGCATAAGCTGCTGCCTGTGAGTGCAAGGTCCATCTCAGCCTCCACTGTTTGCAGTGAAAAAGAAAATCTCTTATGATGGTCACTGGAAAGGGAAATTTGAGAAAAGTCCTTTTTAAATAGCATAGAAAGAAGAGCCGGTAAATTTTAGACAGAAAGTCATGAGATGATTTTACAGTAAAAGATGTGCTTTTTAGAGACGGTTGGTTTCGACAGCCTGGAGAGGCAGACCTTGTTTTTGCATTAATTTCCTAGGCTTGTTATTTTGAAACTCTTGTACTGGGCCTGAATTAAAAAAACATAGGGAGTCCTCTGGATCAGAATGGCTTTTGGGCCCCGCAGAATAGTGCTTGCTTGGGGTTGGCGTATCTCTGGAAATCCCAAAGCGGTCTCTGACGTCTGCCTCTTCGGTACGCTCAGGGGTTCACATGGAGAGGAAAGGAACTGCAGCACCAGAGTTGGGAAATTCTTCACATGATTTGGCCTCGCTTCTATGAGATTTTACTCACGACCACTACTGGGTGGATAGGAAGGCAGTTGTAAGTAGTAGTGTATTTGGACTCTTTTCAGATCCCATCCTGGACAGTAGCTGAGCAGTGGTCTCGGCACAACTCCCCTCAAGTTCCCACTACTACACATTTCTGGTGCTTATGCATTCTGCTCACCTCAGCATTCAGTGAGGGCCCCCGCTGGGCACTGGAGCTACAGAACTGCCAGAGAAGAGGGTCTTGGTGCAGTAGGGGTACAGACGTGAGACAGATGAGGTGAACAGTGAGGTAAGGCCAGTGCCGTACATATGTTGACAGCAGCTGGAGAGGGATTCAGATAAGGTCCGTTCACCCCTCTTGAGCATAGAGGTGGCCATTTTTTCTCTCAGAGTGTCTCTTTCTGAGCACTCTTCTACCAGCAGGGCTTCACCTGGGAGAGGGTGGGGTAGTTCTTGAGGCCATGCAGAAGCATCAAAGCTGAGTTCTGTTTGGTAATAAGTGGATGCTCCAAGAACATTTTGAAGAAGCGCAAGTTACTTGCTGGCTGGTTCAATTGCTAATGTTGTCTTTTCTTTGGTGATATCCAGTTCATTGCAGTTAACCATCCTGAGAAAGGCATCACAGGATTTGGGTTCTGGTTCCCTGTGACTCATGGGTACATTGTCATGAATGCATCCGTGATAATCCTAGCAGACACCATGGTATTTCCTATGGAGCATCTGATCCAGGCACTCCTCCCATACTAAGAGTCGAGCTGTACATCCTCTTACCCTGTGCAGTGAATATATCACAGCTACCACTTCACCTGCACCGTCTCCAGTCTCTGCATATTCTGTTAGCTGGCCTGAAGTCCAGCTCTGCTTTTTTCCCTGAGACCCCAGGGTTAAAATTATTCATGGAGGCTCTGGTCCTTCGTTTCCTTCTGTAGTTTAAAGAAAGATGAATTCAGCTTCCTCCGGCTATTTTCAGGAAGAAAGTTCTTAGATGTGAAGATGGCAAGAAATATTTCTTCCAGTTTGGCCTGCCCAGCTGACCTGCACTGACCTTAGCACGGCTTCAAGAATTCCATAATTCCTTGCAGTCGTGGCATGGGTTCCTACTGACCATTTTTGCTGACCCCCTTAAAACAATTATTTGAAACATTTAAGCTATCGTAATGCGGCAAAGTCTGCATAAGGCAGCAAGAATTAGGGAAAAGATCAAGTTCATTTTTTCAGCACATCCTTTTGAGAATCTACTATGTGTTAGGTGGAACATACACTGTGTTCTGCCAGAGACAGGGCAGTGAGTACAACAGACAAAAAGTATGGAGTATTTATTTCTGGAACACTTTTAAAGAAAGGCAGTTGTACTTTCAGAATGTGAAATCCCTTGGGGAGCCATCTTTTGCTGATGGTAAGTAGAATATCAGTTCTGTGTGCTTCTTTCTGAAATGCCTACAACAGTTTGGCTATTTTAAATTTTCTTTGCAGTCTCATTTGCTTAATTTGTACTGTCCTTGAAGAGAAAAGATTTCCTGAAAAATACCAATCTCAATCCAGTTTTTCTAAATTTTCTAAACGTCCAAATTAAAAGATGAGTGAATTTTTGGGGCGCCTGGGTGGCTCAGTCGTTAAGCGTCTGCCTTCGGCTCAGGTCATGATCTCAGGGTCCTGGCATTGAGCCCCACATCTGCTCAGCCGGGAGTCTGCTTCTCCTTCTCCCCCTGACCCTCCCCCCTGCTCGCGCTCTCGCTCATTCTGTCTCTCTCTCTCAAATGAATAAATTTTTAAAAATCTTTGTCAAAAAAAGAATAGTGGGCTTTTTAGTCTGTTTAAATCTTTAAACATATGCATTTAGCAGATAAATAAATATAAATACCTGTTACAGGTAAAAGGAAGTCTTTCTTAACTGCCTAAGATTTATCATCATTCTCCTTTCTAGCATAGTAACAAGTCAGAGAACTCCTACTTTTGTTTCTACCCAATTATATACGTCTTTTTTTTTTTTTTGTATTAATGTGTAGGTTTTAGTTCTGTTTGTAAGGAGCAAGAGTCAGACTGGAACTAGTTCTTAAATAGCTCCTCAATGCTCCTATTGTTCGTTTTATCACAAAAGGAGATTATGGGTCAGAACCTAAATTAATCTTCCTTTCTTTTTCTTGCCCTTAGTTAGGAAAGGCCATTTCTTTGAACAGTGTGTCTACACATCTTTAGAAAACTTCCTCTTGAGTATTGTGGTATCCAGGGCACTTGAAGTGCCCACCTGGAGAGGGTAATTGGAGCCATACCATTATAGTCTTTCAACAAAGTCAGATATCAGGAATGAATTTTTAAAAACCAACTTGGTTGGGTATAATACGAATACATATTTTTTTCATTTCCTTTGTAGCCCACCAGACGGTCTGCCAGATTGTCCGCGGTGAGTACGTTAGAACCCCCTTGTTGTTCTTATGAGTCCATGTTCCCTCCGTTCAGGACAAAGCAGCAGAAGGAAGATTAAGGTATTATTTCCCTTGAGTTTTTTTATTTCCTTTTTGGAAATTACCTGGGTCGGAATTTCTAGCAAACATGACCAGTGTTGCCAAGCAATTCACTTGAGCAGATAGGTCATTGAAAAGTCACACGGCCACCCCCATTACCAAGAACATAAAGCCCAGGAAGTTGTTGGACACTGCTAGATCTCTGCAACAAAAGAAGCACATTAAGCCAAGTCCTACCTCCTGATTCCACATGATGTGCTAAGGTGGACAAGAATTTGGAGTCTCCGCGGCTCATGCTTCCATCAGAATGTGCTGAAAGCTATCAGAATCCATGTGCTGTAGCCTCATTTCAGAACCAGAGAATCTTTGAAAAAGTAATGATTCCACTTTGCCACCCAGAGTCTCCCTCTGTGGGTGAGGCCTGGGGAATAGACAAGGGTTAATTAAGATCATTAGGTGTGACCAAGCCTGGGCCATGCACGGGCTCCAGCCCTTCTCACCGTGCTCTGCTCCTTGGTGGCTCTCATGCTCCCCCTTGCTCTCCTGCCGGTGTGCCAGTCCTCACTCTGCCAAGACAGGTGGTCAGCCTGCCTCGCTGCTGGAGGAATTTGGTTAAAATAGCCACCGCCCAGGCTGCGCACTGAGATACAGGGAGAAAGGCGTTGGCTTCTTGGCCACCAGGAGCTGCTTGCTACTTCGGCCTTCAGGGAAGCATGGATTCCATCCTAGGCCAACGCCTGTGCCTGGCACAGAGCAGGGAATCAATGCAGAAATGTTTAATTAGGGCACTGACAAATTCAGAGGTATAGCCGAGTTTGGGTTGGGTGAGGCAGTGCTTCACGTGAATCCCAACCTAAGGAAGCGATATTAGAGTCGCCCAGAAGATTAAGAGCCGGGAGGTGTGTGTGTACACAGTTAAGCTGGATTCTTCTGCAGGCCCCTCCAGATGGTGTGCTCTGTCCAGTATTAACTTTCACCATGGTTCAGTAGTTATATTTTAACTTTTGTTAGGCTTAACTAGAGATTATACTACAAGCCACTGTAGTCTGTGGATCTCTAGCCTGTTGTAAGGGAGTAGACCTCCTAAACCAAATAAAAACCAAAATTTAAAACCAAGCTTTTCCTGAGCACCATGAACCAGCAGTAGAAGCACCTTCCACTGAGATCATTGCCCGTGCTACTGACACAGAGCCGCCTCAGTGGCCAGTGGGACTACGGACTACAGAACCTCATCCTTTACCTGCCCCATCAACACGCTTGAATGCTGAATCAGGGAGACGTCTCTCTTACAGAAAACATAAAAGAAAATTATTTGCTGTAAATTGTGAAAACAAATATATGTTAATGCAATATATCAAAGCCTGATACAACACAATTTTTTAAATCCTGAAAATGTAGGAGCTCTGCAAGCTGCTGTATTTGGGGAATAGACTACAGATTTAGGGTGGTAAGATTAATAAAAAGACCCCTTATTTCTCAAGCCGTTTTCTTTTTTTATTTGAAAAGTCATGTCTAACAGCTAGTCTTCTGGAATTGCACTGTCTACAATTTCCCTTTATGCCCTTGATGAACAGGGCCAGATTCAATATGAACCTGAACCACCTAGAGGCATTGCGGAGAAATTTTTCTCCAGAGGGGAAGACCCTGGGCAGTGTTTTCTGCTTAAAAGCCATTCTCCCTAGTGCTCTGAGAGAAGTACATTTATTTTTTTCTAGCTTGATGAGAGAAATATTTGCCCTAAAATAGCCATAGAAAACCAGAGGCTTAAACCCGTTATCTTCCCCAGTGTACCCACGTGCGCCCCGGTTAGGAGCCCTGGTAAGCAGGAGAGGGCTGAAACCCCATATGGAGGGGACTGTGGCCACAGGGTAGGCACTGCTCAGGGCAGTGGGGAGGAGAACCACATGAATCAAGAGAAAAATAGTCACTTTGTGGACTCTTTGGCTAAGTTTAAGAAAAATCTTAAACTTTGGAAGCTAACAGTGGACATTTGATTATAATAATTGTGTTCTTAATAAAGAGCTCTAGGAGCAAGTGAGCCCAGTGTCTGGGTGGGTGAGAAATTCTTCTCTCACCTTGAGCTGGCATTGGAGAGGTTGAAAGTAGAAGAAGCTTGGCTACAGAACTTGAAATCGACATCAGAGGTGGAAGGATGTGGAAATGATTTTGAAATACTTCACAGGCAGCAGTCTTCATTACCGGATGGGCTTTGCCTGCGATTGTGCTGTGATTTCTAGACTGTTGGGAAGGCTAGTGTGACCGAATTCATTGAGTCATTTGGCTAAGGGCCTGAGTCATTCCTCTTACTGCTGTGCTGTGATCAAAGGAAGTACAGAGACATCAGAGATGGAAGCTTAAACCTGTTCCTGGAGAGCTACTCTGGACTGGGGAATAATGAGTCGGCTTTTAAATCTCACCTGCTGTTCACTTGAGAACCCAGGATGAAAATAGTTATGAAATGCACAGATCTTTATGCTGTTACCTGATGCTGAAAATAGAACAAAATATTTTTAAATGAACAGAATCAGAGTCAAAATGGCCTGTTGTCTTTTGCAGTCTTGCTGTGTGCCTTTTGTTCCTGAGGGTTGTCTTTTTCAGTATTTGTATAATTTAATTTATCTTTGCAGAAACCTGCTCCACCCAAACCTGAACCTAAACCAAGAAAAACATCTGCTAAGGTAAGAGGTGCTCCCTCCCCCATGTTGGCCTTTTTTTAAACAATGAATAAATTATAATTCCATACTAAAAATCATCCAAGGAAAGATCACGTTTACTGATTCAAGCTAAACGTACGACTAGGAAAGTGTCACCATTGTTAACAGCCTTTCTCAAAAGGCATAACGCACAGTTTTATGCTTTACCAGGAATGTGTTTCTCATTCGGTCAGTAAAGGCAAAGGTAGTCAGAGCATGTTGCTCTGAGAAGCCTCATGTCCAAGAGGGGTTTGGTAGCCACACGCTATTCACGTGGTGGCTCGGAAAGCATGAGGCTGGGCCCTGGGTGGCCACACAGTGGCCCGCAGCTCCAGGGGCTGGGGGAGGGGGGCCGGACTTCCTGTAACTGGTCTTAGGCTGGGCTGATGACTCATCATACAATAATTAATACTAGCAAATAATCAACATCAGCAAACACTTACGTGGCGCTCCTACTATGCTAGACCCTGTTCTAATTGCTTTTCTTATGAAGCCGTCACATCAGTCCTACTGAGGTAGGTGCACACACCCGGGTTTGCCAATAAGGAGAAAAGCACAGAATTATTAAGAAACATCCCAAATAGCTTTTCTGTGCTCTGCCCTTCAGAGCATTGTTGTGAATTGTTTGAAACTACGTGTTATTTGGGGGGTTCCTGGGTGGCTCAGTCGTTTAAGCATCTGCCTTCAGCTCAGGTCCTGAGCCTGGGGTCTTAGGATCGAGCCCCGCAGCGTCGGGCTCCCTGCTCAGTGGGAAGCCTGCTTCTCCCTCTCCCACTCCCCCTGCTTGTGTTCACACTCTCTCTGTCGCTCTGTCAAATAAATAAATAAAATCTTAAAAAAACAAAAAAGAAACTACGTGTATTTGTGGCATGAGTAGATGATTCTGAAGCAGAACTCATTTCTCTGGCTTGTATTAAATTCAGGAACTTTTCTTCACGTGGGGCTTCATTTACAAGCATTTTCTCAGCCTTCTCGTTCCTCGAGCCCCGTGTCCCCATGTGAGGTGTTTCTCTTGCTGGCTTCTTCCCTGGCTTCTGCCTCACCCTTCAGTTCCCACTGCTCTCGGCGGCAGAACCACTTCTCTGTAGCGAGTGAGGAGGCCCGCTGAACAAATGCATGAGGAGAATCATCATCTTTTCCCTAGAAGAGAAAGTCAGTGGACCATCTAAGCAGCCCGTTAACATTCTCATAGAGCCTCAGTGTAACTCACTTGACGCCTTGCAGACTTGGCTTCTCCTTCCCCATCTGAAAGCCACCGTGTTGGCCATGGTTGCACTCCGCCTTGTGTTTGGACGAGGCTGACGGATTTTCGCCCACCTCACACCCTAACATGCTTTGTTTCCCTGTGCTCTGACCCTCTGTTAGAAAGAACCGGGAACAAAGATTAACAAAGGTGCTAAAGGGAAGAAGGAGGAAAAGCAAGAAGCTGGAAAGGAAGGTACTGCACCATCTGAAAATGGTGAAACTAAAGCTGAAGAGGTACTTTCCATGAATACCTCCCACTGACTGACTCAGTGTCTTAAAAGAAATTGCTCAATGCTTTAGCCGGTGATAGCACGTTCATAATGTCTCTTTTTATTGCCCATAATGTTATTGCAGATCCACATCTCTCGCTCAACTGTTAATGTCTCAACCTCCAGAGGTACCCCACCCAGCACACTGTCAGTAAAGGGGCAGATTGAAACAGTGAGAGTTAAGGGTACAGTAGAAAATTCTGCATGTTTGCAGTGGCTAGAAGCAGATAGTAGTAGTGTGGTGTTTTTTTATCATGAACAGTGGGAGCTTGCAGGTAAAGCTTCTGTGGCCGTTTGAAAAGCAGAAAGCAATCAATGCAGCAAAGTGTTTGCGTACTGTATTCCTGCCTTGTCTGTTTTACACCCAGAGTCGAACTAGGTTTTGCAATAGAGCTGCTAAAAAACAGATGTTCAAAGCATGTGTGTTGGCTGGGTAGACTTTTCTTTGGCTTCTAGTAGGTTTAATAGTAACTGTCTCTCTTTTTTTCCCCTTTCTTTTTCACAGGCACAGAAAACTGAATCTGTAGATAACAAGGGAGAATGAATTGTCGTGAAAAATTGGGGTTGATTTTATGTACATCTTGGGGCAACTTTTAAAAGCTATTTTTACCGAGTATTTTGTAAATGCTAATTTTTTAGGATTCTACTAGTTGGCATACAAAAATATATAAGGATGGACATTTTATCTTCTCGTAGTCGTGCTTTTTGGAAATTTCCATCATCCTCAAGAGAAATAAATACCAGTTTGATATTGGAAGCTGTGTGTAAGATTGATTCAGCATTCCATGCGCTTGCTTTAAAAATCGAGTGCTGTGCATACTGTGGTGTTTTTACTGTGCGTATTTAAATTTTTCACGCAGTTTTTCTAGAGCAATAATCAGTGGTGCTTTTGTACCTAGGTTTTACGTGATTTTAATGAAACGTGGATAGTTGTGGCCACCTGCTGACTATTTGTGGTTTAAAATAAAAGGTTTTCTTGCCTGCAAAATACCTGCCTCTAAGTAGTGTCTTTACTAAACTTGGGCAGTGTTTCATTTTGTTGTTGCTGAAGACGTGAAGAATAGTTACAGTTTGTGCCATAATGGTATCTCTAGTAAGTCAAACAGGATGATTTCTTAATTGCTGGGCCTTTAAAAATGTTATTATTTTAATAAAACCATCTATGAGTGCTAGCGTGGAAGAATTACATCTAAAACACTCGATACCAGAAGTGCTCAGCAATGATCACCATATAATAAACTTAATCTAACACTACTGTTTAAAAGGTCTTTATAAACAGAATAGAGTTCTCTTAAACCAGAGCTGGTGAAAAACCATAAACTAGGGCTGATCCTTGAAAATCTGTCACTTTTGGGGCGCCTGGGTGGCTCAGTCGTTAAGCATCTGCCTTCGGCTCAGGTCATGATCCCAGGGTCCTGGGATCGAGCCCCATGTAAGGCTCCCTGCTCAATGGGGAGTCTGCTTCTCCCTCTCCCACTCCCCTGCTTGTATTCGTGTGCTATCTCTCTCTCACTCTCTCTGTCAAATGAAAAAAAGAAAAGAAAATCTGTTACTTTCAAAGTACACTGAATCACATTTTACTAAAATACTTTCTCATTCGTTGAGGACTTCACCATTTTGAAAGCTCTTTACCCAGCATGACCACATTTTAGCCTTGCGTCAACCGGAGAAAGGAGGTGGCATAGTTAATATTAGAGCTCCTTTCTAGGCTAAGAAATAGGGACTTGGATATATATGCCTTCAGGAATGAGAAAAACCAGGATTCGAACCTGGTCTTTTGAATTTTAAACATAGCCTATCTTGGTCTGTTCAGGCTGCTGTAACAAAATACTACAGTTTGGGTGTCTTATAAATAAAAGAAACTTAATTCTTACTTTTCTGGACACTGGAAGTCAAAACTGAAGGTGTCAGCATGGTTAGGTGAGGGCTGGCTTCCAGGTTGTGGACTTCTCACTATGTCCTAGCGGAAGGGGCTAGGGAGCTCTCTGGGCCCTCTTGCCTAGGAGTGGTAATCCCATACATGAGGGCTCCACTCTCGTGGAAACACCTCCCAAAGGCCCCACTTCCTAATACCATCATCTCTGGGGGGTAGGATTTCAACGTAGGAACTTGGGGGGGGATCACCAGCATTCAGACCATACCGGGGTCCTCTTTTGGGAAGGACATAGGACTGCCGGGAACAGAGGAGGAATCACTTTGTAAAGTAATTTTTTATTTCTTTTCATTCCTGAGAAGTTTGGAGACTGCATGAGCACCCCAGGAAAGCTGAATTCTAAGGATTCCTCTTAGATGAAGATTTGAATCTTTTAAGATGGAAAGTAGCACCTGCACTGCTCAGGACTCTTACAACCAAGGCCGTTGTTCCTCAGGGCCTTAGCATATATTGGAGGGCTCAGAACTTGTGTAATTGTCCCAGGTATGTTGTGAATCAACTGCATTTGCCAGCCAGCCATATTATGTACAGAATAATCTTAATCTGTTCATAGTTGTTTTTGGCTTCTGATTATAAAATGTACAACACCACTTTTACCCAAAGGAAAATAGCTGGTATCCTGTGAATACTTTATGAAAATATTTTCAGTGTGCAGTCAGTACGCAGTTGAACTATATTGCTGGCTAGCTACCAGTTCACAAATGCAGTATGAACTTAACAGGTCTACTTTTTAAACAATGACAAAAGTGCTACAGGTGATTTTTTTTTTTTTTAAATAGACATAACAGTTGTACATGGAGAAGTCAAAGTTCTCCCCTCTCCCACTCTTGTGTCCTAGAGGTAACACTGCACACTGTTTTCTCTGTGTGTATATGTGTGTGTGTGTATATATATATATATATATGAACATACATGCACATGTAACTTTTAAAGGAGCGAATATTATATCCATTCTATTTTCAACTTCTTAAACCAATAATTGGAGATAAAGATTATTTCTAATACTGCAGTGCTACCAATGATACTGCAATAAATATTCTTGTGCACAAAGCTTTTGCCTACTTAGATATTTCTACTCAACTAGACGATTTCCTGGAAGTGGAATGTCTACGTCAAAGGGAATGTACATGACATCTGACTATTGCCAAAAGTTGTGCCCATCCACTTCCATCAACAGCATATAAATGCCATTTTATCTTACCTTTGTCAGCACTCTTATTTTGGTCAGCCTGGTAAATGAAAAATAATGCCTCACTGCTTTAATTTTAGATTTATTACTAGTAAAATTGAACTTTTTGTATATTTAATGGTCATTTGAATTTCTATGTGAATTATGAGTTTTTTCTACTTTTCTGTCAGGGATCAGTGTGTTTTAATCATTCATGAAAAAAATATCATTATTCACAATGACCACTAATGCTATTACTTTTATTCAAATACACAAAGATCAGAGATTCTTGGGTCATTGGTATGTGTCTATTAAAGTTTATGGGTATTGGGGCACCTGGGTGGCTCAGTCGGTTAAGCATCCAACTCTTGATCTCAGCTCAGGTCTTGAGCTCAGGATCATGAGTTCAAGACCCACATTATTAAAAAATAAAGTTTATGGGTATTATTATTACCATTTTAACAAAGGGCAGACAGCTACCAAAATAACATAAGAGCCCCATTTTGGTTCCCCAAAATTTGATCTGATGGATACACTGCCTGGAAACAGATGGAAAGTTTGGTCATACCCATGACTGCCACATTGCTTACCCCAGCAGTGCATTCATACATGTTAGAAAGTGGCACACTACATCAAAAAGTAATGATGTAATGTATGGTGATTCACATAACATAAAAAAAAAGAAAGTGGCCTCCTTCTCCAAAATATGTCTGCTAATCTGATGGAAAATCATAACCCTATGAATCTACAATGACTCTGAGTCATTGGCATCCCCTGTAGTTAAGCAGTGCACTGCTTGTATGATCCTATGTGCTACTCCTAATATTCTCCCTGGAGTTGGCCCCATGGATTGTGGTGGAATAAGAGTGGGCTCAGAGAAAAGTGGCCCTGAAATTCCCATTTTTAAGTTACGTGAAAAGATAATCAAAGTCAAGATCCACTGGTCCAATAGGTGAACTGTCCCATAAAATCTTGAATGTACATTTACATAATTAAGGAATTTGAAACAAAGTTATGAAACAAAGGCTTTTTTTCCTGTCCCCAAATTTTAGGGGACTTCACTCTTGGCTCAGGGTACAAGTGCTACCCTTTTGCCAGTCCTGGCAGGCATAGGGAAGTCATCTCAACTTTTAGCTATCACATAATATGCTAACATGTCTTCTGAATGCCTTTCACTTAATCATGAGTTCCAAATTTTTATTATTCTATTCTATTTATTATTTTATTCAGAACATTGATTTAAATCTCCCAGAATAATTTTAATGATTAAGATAATAAATAGTGGGCGCCTGGGTGGTTCAGTCAGTTCAGTGTCTGCCTTCAGCTCAGGTCATGATTCCAGGGTCCTGGGATCGAGTCCCACATTGGGCTCCCTGCTCCGCCGGGAGCCTGCTTCTCCCTCTGCCTTTGCCTCTCTCTCTGTCTCTCAATAATTAAATAAAATATTTTTTAAAAAGATAAATATTTATTTAATGCCATGTGATAAGTACTTTATATAATTTGGGAGAAAACTTGTGAATTCTGTTACTATTTTAATGTTCCCATCCCCTAGTAAAAATGAACCCAATTTTCCAATGCCAAATAGAGCTCAGGCTTATTTAAAACTACAAAGGGAACTTTGTGATTATCTCTTCTTCATGGGAGAAGAGAAAGTCTTTGAAATCCAAGTTTTAAAATGATATTTATATAAACTTCATGACTTTGAACTAAACAATGGTTTATTAGGTATGACACAAAAAGTAGAAGCAACCAAGTAAAAAATAAGCATCACAAAAATTTCAAGAAAGAAAAAAGCCACAGAATGGGAGAAAATATTTGCAAATCATATCTGATAAGAATCTAATATCTAGAATATGTAAGAAACTCTTAATGAATTGGAAATAAATTGGAAATAAACTTGGAAATAAATTTTAAGATGGGCAAAGGATTTGAAAGATGTTTCTCCAAAAACGTACATCAGTAGCCAATATGCAAATGGAAGGATGCTCAACAATTAGTAATTAGGAAAATGTGAACCAAACCATTACAAGGTACCATTTTACATGCACTAGCATGACTTTTAAAAAATGGAAAATAGCAAGTGTTGGAGAGAAAGTGGAGAAAGTAGAGCCCTTTTTCATTGCTGGTGGGAATGTAAAATGATGGAACCTCTACAAAAAACAGTTTGGAAGCTCCTCAAAATGTTAGGGAGTTACTGTATGAGCCAGCAATTCCACTCCTAGGTATGTACCCTAAAGGATTGAAAACAAATGTTCACACAAAAGCTTGTATGTGAATGTGTATAGCAGTGTTATTTATAACAGCCAAAAACTGGAAACAATCCTGATGTCCATTAATTGATGAGTGCATAAGCAAAATATAGTAAGTATATCCATACAACGAAAAATTATTCGGTCAAGAAAAGGACTGAAATACTGATATGCTACCACATGGATGAACCTTGAAAACACCATGCTAAGTGAAAGAAGGCAGTCCCCCAAAACCACTGATTATATGATGTCATGTGTATGAAATGTCCAAAATGGGCAAATTCATGGTGGTAGAAAGTAGATAACATGGTTACCAGGCACTGGAGGAAGGGGAGAGTGGGGAATGGCTGCTAATAGGTACAGAGTTTCTTTTTTGGAGTGATGACAATGTTCTGGAATAGTGGTAATTGTTGCACAACCTTGTAAATATACTAAAATGCACAGACGTGTACACTTAAAAAAACGACGTTTGCAAGGCAACTGTTAAGCACAGGACTTAGAATCAGGAGGTCTGGTTTTAAGTCTCAGCACTATCTCTCACTAATTGTGTGAAACCCGACAGGTCATTTAACTTCTGCCTCTCAATTTCTCATCCTCAAAATAGAATTAATATCTGTTTGACAAAAGCTGTTAGGATC